GGGGGGGGGGGGGGGGGGGGGGGGGTTCTTATAGGCGGAGGATGTGAAATATCTATATATTTTTCTCTACCCTTTACCATTCTTTTTTGTTAATAATGTAAGCATATTCCAGATTAACAATTTGCCTTTACTACATGTAGTTTTAAAAACGAACTATCATTCAAATAGTATCGTTGTTCAAAATACAATCACATCGTGGTCCGATTCATGTGGAACACCAAAAACAGACCACATTGTTAGCACACATTGGTAAAAATTTGAACTTTCAGTCAAGTCAATACGAGATAATAAAAACAGGAATTAAGATGACCAAAAACAAAAGAGAACACCCAATGAACCTCCACAATATACCACGGGCGGCGTAAACAAATAATGTGTGTGTGTGTGTGTGTGTGTGTGTGTGTGGGGGGGGGGGGGGGGGGGGGGGGGGGGGGGGGGGGTTGTTAACCGATAGCCTTTATCTTGCAGTCAATGGTCAAATAACGTATTGTATGTATCGTTAGGAAACAAAAAGTTTCATTCCATTCAATCGAAGTGTATCTATGTAATATATTACTGTGTTATTTCCCCTACAGGGAAAGTAAGATATACAGTCGTAATAAAACCCGTTAAAGTTGAATGTGTTTCTAGACTGATTACCAGACCAGAACACCAACCATTGTACAAATTGTGAATCAGACAAATATAAAAAAAAAATGTGTCAAAGAAGACAATTTTTCAGCCCCGGAAATAATTCGCCAGATCGAAACAGAGCCTTACTAGTTCCCGTGGCTAGACCGATTGGTTCTCCGTGGCGGGGAACCCTAGTGTTGTTATGTAAGCCCCGAAGGTACGGTAACACAGGAAAAAACCTGTATTGGTCTAGCTGAAGAACAAAAGCTGTTTCTTTTTTACGAATTCATATCCTAGCGTCATTAGCTCGAACTGTGAAACAATATTCTCCAACATCGCGAGGTAATGATGTTCGGATGTTCAACGTGAAATAAAAATACGCTTCAGCGTAAAAACACGACGGCAAAGTCTGAACTGGAAAATTGATACAAACACAGTAACAACAGGAACCGATGGAATTTCATAAAAAAAACAGGTAGGAAAGACATCAACGAAACAAATTGAGATGTAACCATGTGCTCCTGCAGGATAAGCGTTTTCTTCATGCTATATAAATAAAGGATCCATGTAACAATTTCTACAACTGTTACTATGGACTGGAAACTGTTTTCATCGACATGTTGATAGCTTTAATATTTCACTGCTGAACAAAAATAATACCTCATGGAGCTTTAATGAAAGAATATAATCAACATGAAACGCAAGAAACAGCAGTGCTACGAGAATGACAATGCAACGGGGCAGACAAGACGATTGTCAAACCTATGGCCCCAACACAATACTGTCGTTCTAACTAGCTGATCAGCGCTATTGCCGTGTCAGTCCCTACTGCCTTTATATATTCAAAACGACATTAAGAGGAGGTCAATCTCCTTATAAAAAACGACAGTGGCATTATCCAATGTTTTACCAGCAGCATGATAGCAAATGAGTTACATCCCTTGACAATTTTTCATTTTTCATTTTGGTTCTGATCATTTATTAATCCTGACAGCAACATTGATAACGTGAAGGATTGGTAGTGGAGAGGTTCAGAGGTCAGAGTTCAGATCATGTAGAGTCTGTTCATTTTTCTTAGTTGTTTTCAATATAGACTCATAAGCTCTTACGAAATCCTTATATATTTTCCTTAAAGATGACAGTAAGGTGAAAGAAAAAAAAATCTTTCAAATTAAAGTATCTGAATAAAAATCGTAGAACATTTATACCTTGATAAGTCACCAGGAACCTGTTTCCTCTATCTTCGCCGGCTAAATACGATGAACTCCGAATGTAGACCGTTCCACACGACTTCCGTTCGATGTTAACATCCTGTGCCTTACAAAAGGTGTCTGTGATCTTTCGATATGTACCACAAGCTCTGTAAGTGACTTGCAAGAACTGAGCACTACATGTTTCTGTATACTCGCGAGAAAACGCGAGATGTATGATGATTTCCACCACTCTACCAGGCTTGGGATATATTGCCCAATAACAGCTATTCGGATTACCCTCTGGATTATAAGGAAAGCCTGGACTTTTGATTATTCCGAAGGTTTTTGGCATTGATCTGACGTTTCCGGTACACACCCCGTCTGTAACATCCTCTGCAACAAAGAAACGCAAACGGATTTACACATGGTAAATATGTCACAAGAATTTGTATAGATGAACGAAAGAACAAAGTACATTTGTATATCACGCTGTGTAATCTGCACCTCAAATGACATAAGCTGTTGATAGGACGCTGAATTCTATAAAATTAACCTTACCAAATACACATATTCTGAGTAAGTTAGCGGTAAGCATAATTAGATATGGAGTTTGATGCCCGTGAGACAAATTCTTCCAATGTCGGACTTTACATGAGACTGTAAACGTAGTTATTTGAGACCTCTTAAATTTTATTGTATTGAACACGCATGCGCGTTAAACAAATGCTGCACCTTCATTAGAAAACATGTCAAATTGCACAATTAAAATTTAGCGCAAAAAAAGGATTATCAGTAGAATATGTACATTGGCTAATACTATTGAATACAAAGGGGACACACATAACTTCCCATGGGGCACTGATAATCTGTCACATAGAACAAAGAAACTCGGAGTAGATTTTTAAAAATTTGGTTTAATTTTGTCGACTTCAAGGAACTTTGCTCTTAACATTTATAACTTCTATGAATGCATGGAGTTATCCTGCACCCATGCCACACTTTTCTCTCTCTCTTTCTCTTGTGGTGGTGTTTTCTATTGCACCGGGCGTCATATAACTAAGTGTTTATGAGGACTTAACAACAGAACAAATCAAAATCAAGTTCCCTCTATAACCCGTTGACAACATGCGTTCGTGTAAATGGTCAATCTCCGACGGTATCGACACACTATCAACAAAGTGGTGGCTACCTTCCGTTTATAACGTAAATTGACCTAATGTGGAAATGTCGGTTTGATGTTGCAGACGTCAATTAGATCCTAGCTTCCGGTCGAACCAATTTTACCTTAATCAATATGTATAGACAAGGTAAAGAATATCAAATTCATGATAATTACCTTCTACACAGATGTAGTCCACAAAAACGTTAGCTGTCTGAACAAAATTGTCGGTACATGTATTTCCTGGCATCAAACGGCTCAGACCGGAAGCGTAGCACGATTTCCGGCCTTCGCATAGTGTGTACAGGGTCTGATAGACATTCCAGGGACATTCTTCTTGGCCATGACTGCAGCGTGCTCTCACGATATGAAGCTGGTTACCGTTTCCGCAATGAAGTCCCTCACTCTCGTGACTACAGATATTCGTTCGGCAAGCAGGAAGAGGTTGCTCTGAATTAGAAATAAAGATTCATATGAAATGAAGACAATCAGGTAGAAACAAAATATCACAGGGTTAACACACGAGCAAAACCTGCAACAGTTTAAACATACAAGGATAAAATATACCAAAGCGTTAATTCCCAAGAACAAATTTGATATATCACAGCGTAAACACTCAAAAAGACAAACTATCACAATGTCAAGACATCAGGTCAGAACAGGCCAGGGCCCGTATTCACGAACCCGTTCTCATGCTCAAGCATTGATTTTGTGCTCAAGTCTAATTTCGTGTTCCAGTTATAAATTATTTAAAAAAATCTTATTTTGTTTAAGTTTTGGACAAAAATTGAAGAAAGTTGAAGCCGAACACTGTTTTCAATATTCAAATTTGTGTATTTGATCGTTGACATGATTTAGATGGGTTACAAGAAAGCTGGTTTGAGTACAGAATCCATGCTTAAGCATGACAACGGTTTCATGAATACGGATCCAGAACTTAACTCACAAGGACAATATATATATTCACTACCACGTGCACACTTAAGATAATTTACACTACAGGTAAACATACACAGAATAAATACCACAGCGTCAACACATCAGAGCCAACATACACCAAGAGCGAACAATACAGTAAACTGCACCCAAATCAATGAAAAAAGGGCAAAATATAATCAAAGGAAAGATTTACAGGCAGATAAAGTACACGGAGAAAAAGACCAAATGTTTCGGAAGGATAAGCGTCTTCAGCTTCATGGTCGACACCCGCCGTCTTAAATTTATTTTATTAACTTTATTTGTTCTACAATAATTATGAAACAATGTATTTCATCTTATGTTAATCACTCTACTCTTGTTCGCCTAGATATTAGCACGCGAAGGGTCTTATTGTGGGAGGGAACCGGAGTACCCGGAAAAAAACACGTGGTCGGGCAGGTGACCCCATACCTTCACCCGCCGTCTTTATCTTGCTCAAATCAAAATTATGTCATACCCTCAGAGCGCGAACCGGGTAGTGACAACGACACCACAAGGCACAATAATGAACAAAACGGAAAGCATCTATCTTCATATTGCACAAGGAAAAATTAATTCCCAAATGAGAAAATGATAAATGGCGACCATAACATTTGTCCTTATTCTTCATTAACCTAAACAGATGTTCTTTCTCACAGACAAACGCTCTTTAACGATGCGTTTCCTGTTCATGAACCTTGATTTGACAAATTACTTTGCAGTCACACAGATGACATGAAGTCACTAGTGTGTTTACGTAATAACTATTAATATAAAGTCAATAAAACGGTTGAAAACAACGCTTGACATATTTCCAGGATACTTATTCTCCTTCCTGTCTGTTAACCCTTCCTGTCTGTTAACCCATAGTAGCAGATCCAAGGGAAAACTAAAACTTTTACAGTACTACGGTTAGTTATTCCTTAATTATCATCTACAAAATCGAACCAAGTTAAATTTGCTAATTAACTACCTTGTTCCAGCTAAATTGATTACATACGGTAAATACTTACTGCGAGTACACTTGAAACTAATTATCACTGTCCTTGCAGGAGCGTTTTGGCAATATGCCAAAAGCTGCTGTTTCAATCCGATGCTTGCACATGACCTTTCACCTTCACAAAGCCAAAGAATTTTGTCACGTTCAGGGCACGTGTAGTTTGATGGCAGACAGAGGACATCTTGGATATGAAGCACCTCGTTTCCGGTACACTGGAGTTGTCTCCCGCTGTTTTGACAAACGTCAGCATGCTGAAGAGTGTAGCTTCCTGAAAAATATGAAGAAAATTTCTTTGAAAATATCAGAAAATATTCATCATAACTAACGTGCGCGTGAGTGAATTCTTGTCTACTTCACAAATATATCAGTAGTTGCCATTAGTTACTAGTTATCATTCATAAAAAATGTATTTACAGGTTTTCTCAGGAAAGAATATGTCGTAACAAAGGAACATAATTGTAAACTTATATTTCATAAAAAATATTTCCGTTTTGTATGTAAATGAAGTGCGTGTATTTTCCTTTTTAACGCTTTCTTAACGTTTGGTAGGTCACGACGAAATAGAGACATTTCTCTGTGACGCGTTTCCATAATATTTAGTAATGTGTATATTTCATTTCATTTCCAAAAAATATATTGACAAAGTTGTTACAAGTCAATTGGACGGAATAACAGACAAAGCCTATATATATTCTCTCCAAAGGTGGCTAGAGTAATGGATTATGTAATTATGGATTTGATTTAATTGTATACATCAATTTTGAAATGAAAATTATAAACTCAAAAATGAAAGGGATGTAATTCCTTCTTAATTAACAAAATTGAAATACAAATACATTCACACTTCTCACATGACACACTTCTCACATGACACACAAAACACTTTTACAGCTATTTTGTTTTTTAATAACATTTCATATAGGCTTTCAAGTCACACAGTTATTAGCATACATTGACCCTACATTGCGTATATATGTATCTGCCTTAAGAGAAATATATGCGAGCGTGCATTTCATTGGTTTAACACACCTCAGAGAACATAACTAATGATATATCCTTATAGTTCACATAAACATAACCTTTTAATGTCTGCTTATTCGGTTTTTTATCTTCAACAGTTGCAATAACACAAATGGAATCCAATGTTCCGTCGTATGTACTTTTTGCCTCGTGAGAGAAGTAACAATGTGCCACCCAGAAATATAATAGGATGACAAGTGTCTCCCCTGACAGAGCTACTATTGTGTTTTGCCTACTCTGCAATATATGACTTTCTCTGGAGATTGTTTTCATGTTCTTATCAAATGTTCCTTCCTACTTCCGGGTTCCCTAGACAGACTTTATGGTATGTGTGATGTCTATTCCGCAATATATATATATATGCGTAGGACGTGATCATGCTTTTGTTTTATGATGTATTTCCCAATTTCCTTATCCGTGAAAATAACATAGGCAGTCATTATTGTGTCATACTTGGGTGAAATGTCTTCAAGGTATATAAAACGTATGTTCTGTGTGTTGTGTGTCTTATATTATGATTATTTTTATTAACAATTCCCAATAAAAGTCTATATATAAACACCATAAGAGAAACAAAGCATTCCGACGACTGAGCACGCCGTTGGATCAGTGTCAACGTTCTAAGTTCACATGAAGACGGTTGTCTAGGGAGACAAAACCGAAAAAAGGGTAGCGAAGGGAAAAAGGAAGATGCGTTGGGGAGAAAAAACAAATCAGCTGTAATCCCTTCAATGTCTTCTACATATAATAATAATAATAATTGATAATAATAATTTGAGGTTCTTATATACCGCTTTATCACAACCTAGTTCGTAGGTCGTCTCAAAGCGGTTTACAAATTATCATATTTCGTTATAGGGCCTTTGCAACCAGCCAATATCTTTCTCAACTCGCTGGGGAGCATACAGCCGGTGCTGCCATTTCGGTGCTCACAGCTAGCATTCAACGATTCTAGTACTGCCCAGCCACGTACTCTTTTACAGCTGAGTAGACTGTAACAAGCGGAGTAAAGTATCTTGCTCAAATATACAACACAGTGCCGTGCCTTGACTCGAACCCGCAACCCCTCGGTCACGAGCCCGGCGTCTTACCACTAGACTACCGTGCCTCCTACAACACACCAAAGAAAGCCCCCGATTCTGCGGAGTGCCACATTAGTCGCCTCATACATCATGTAGGTCAGTTCTCCCTCCAAACCTGCACAAGGAAGTGATGATGTACATGATGGTTTTAGTTTTCTAATCTTAGGGTGCAGTGTATTGCTTGACCATTGTATCCAAACATAATACGTATGTTTCATCACATAACCCTACCACATTCAGATGACATTCATACCTGCTATGAATGCCATGAACCAATTGTTGACGTCACCATTATAATGCCGTCATAATTGTAACACTTGATACCCCTGATTTTCCCTAGAAAGATAGCTGTTCCATTCATTGAATACGCATATACGATAAATACATTATTTGAACGAAATGCTGGATAGTAATAAGTGTAATTGAATTATCAACGAGATAAACTGGTAAATATAAGTATTGCACTGCTACATTTGTATCAGTTGGCATTCATATGCAACATGAATGCCAACTGAAAACAGTTTAATGCTTAAATAACGCAGACTTATCAAACGTTCACATTAATCAGTAAATCACATATTGAAATGATCCTTCACATTTGGATCACATCGGCTGTTTTTTCTAATGTAAGACACGGAAAACAATTTCTCCGATTCTGTGTTTATGACGTACCTCCCTTTTATCACGGATGTTATTGTGTTCTGACACAAAACGGATGCGGAGTAGTATTTCAATTTTCAAAAGTTTTCATAACGTGACAAATGCTAATCACATAAGTTCAGTTCGTTTCTTTGTCGTACTTTTGTTAGTTCTAAATATTCTACACTTAAATTGCATACATAGTATGTAGTCATGTACGTTGTTCTGTCTCGGAAAGATGTAACTGTAAACACAGGGAAAGACTCGATGTAAACATTGAAAACCAGTTTATGAATCTTGTCTTAAAATTCAATACACTCTAAATTCATATGTGAATATTGTAAGATGCAAATGTACAAATCATCGTGTATGCATGAATACATTTACGCTTATATTGTATCCAATGTGTAGTAATATTATATACAAATTTCCTTAAATTGTGAAACATTTATTTTAAATTCAAAACAAATATATGAATTGCTTAAATATATTTTATATAACTGCAACGCAGATGTTCATATGCCGCAATATGGCCGGAAGTGACAAATCTTTACCAGTGGAAATAGTCTACACGTCACTTAATCGAAGCAAGTCCTGCATGTTTGGTTCTTATGCGAATAAAATCTTCCTTGCCAGTCATTGGGGTAACGGATTACGAACACGCTTTAAATCAAATTTCTGTAATAGTTATAGAAAAAAACGTCAACCCGACAATCAATGTGACAATATTTGGCGGGAAGCACGCGATCTGCAGACGTACAAAGCGAAAGAGAAAGAAATGCGGGTCACTTGTAGCACCTCCATGGTCAAACTTGGAAATCTTGTCCAGAAAAGTATTCATCTCTTAACGTTTATAAATGATGTTTTTTGAAGAAAAATAATGACAGGCGAAAAGAAATTATAAACAACGATAAAAAATTGATATAAAAGAGCTCATGTACTTTTGTACAGAGATAAGGGTTTCAATGATCACATGTAGCTCATAAGTTATAATTGTCGAAAACGTACAAATGTCCTCATAACAATCAACGGGGAACAGTTTGATCATTTAAAACTTGACGAATGATATGTAGTGTAATGGAGTGCTTCAATCTTTATTAAATATTAAATACTAAGATGATCTCCGAGAAACTTTATTTCAAAATCAGATCAGTCGAAATATTTTCCTTAGCACTATGTTGGAACTATAAGCACGGAAGCATCCTGGAAATCCCAGGAGCTATGCTTGCTTACATCTCTTCACCCTGAAAATATGTCATGAAAAAACGAAGGCACTTCGTTGATGACGTACATGAGGAATTAAGCGCCATCGTAACGGTAAAAGTAACCCGCTTTTCAGTCGGGTGTTGCTTTTTCGTAATTTTCAATCGACAGGTTCTGTATCTGCCAAGCGATAGATCAGTTAATTTTGAAGTGAAAGCAATCAAAAATCTTATTTTTTGCTATCAATTTTGCCATGGCATCTTGCTTTGGTGCAGAAAACGTATGTGATCGTATCCCGTAGAATTTCGAGGCTGGCATGGAAGAGAGAAAGACAAAAAATGAGAGAAATACACAGCATACAGAATTAAGGGATACGGTAGCATGGGGAAGAAAGAGGATATTTTAATTCCCTAATGAGATATATTTAAGTTATGAATCCTTATATAACACGTACTGACCTAGTTAGAGTAGATTTAAAAAGAAAGAAGAAAGTGAAATGTCTTGGAGTGGGTGGTTATTATACAGCAAAATGCTAGCATGGCTTCAACTCTAATCGATCGTTCAAACGAAGTTATAATTAAGCACTGACAGGAATTAAGGTAGCGTCTTTGGCTCACAGAGCGAGTTTGAGGCTAGCGGTATTGGAAACTCTCAACAATTAACCGGTAGTTCTTGTCATAATACAAACAATACTTCTTGACAGCTTTCTGTCAAAATAATTCACAATCATAATGAATGAGGGGGATCAACAGAGCGAGCAGTAATGTACTTCTACATTATCTGAAGGACGCAACAAAGTCACAACAGTACTCGTAACGTAACAGCACGGACAGAGAATCACGCGCCCTTATCACGAGGTTGTGGCGCCAATTGCAAGGGGGAAAAAATGAAAACTACGAAATTCAAAAAAGGAAAACACAAAATCATGCAAATCGAATTTGGATAAAACAACTGGTAGCCATGAAAATATTCAGAAGTCATTAAATTGGTTGTGAATATGCAAACGATCGGATGTAGTTCTGTTGAAATGTGTTGCAGTTTGTCATCTTTCCTGATCACCCAGACGGGATTCAAAACTAAACCCTGATGTAATACTTCCCAAAAGAGCCATTTTAATGCAACAATACAGTAGCTTATAGTGTGTGTCTGTACTTGTTAAATGAATTCGTTAAGCTTCAAGTTTTTTTCTAATGATTTCTTGAATTTTCATACTGTATTTTGAAAATGTTTTAACATTGTAACATGTTAGATTGAGTTAAAATGCAATCCAACTGAAATGTCGGAATCTGGACACATTACCATGGCATTTTACCTGGTCATATTG